TCAATATTTAGTAGATATATCCCAAAAGAAAACATGCATGTATTTTTTTATTTGGGAATTTATGAAATAGACATGGTATCTACAGCTTTTGCACGCTCACCTCGTTATCTACGACACAAAGTTTCAGTCTCTGACAGCAGATTGACCAATCAGAGGTTTCATTAAGAATCTTCTATGCTAGAGACATGAGCAGATGTGTGCGCCTATATTGCTAACTCCTCCCCTTCACAAACAGAACCATTCTAACCACTACCCCTCTTTGGGTCCCCCTCCTTCACCAGATAGCATGTCATCCACTTCATACAGTGCCAGCTGTGCCCTAAAAAAGCTTAGCAGTGTCATCTTTGTGCCCAGCTTTCCAGTGCCATCTCTGTCCCAAAACAGCTTCCTAGTGCCACCTTTGTGCCCAGATTCCCAGTGCAATCTCTGTCACCATACAGATTCCAAGTGCCACCTTTGTGCCCAGATTCCCAGTGCGATCTCTGTCACCATACAGATTTCCAGTGCAATCTTTGTGCCCAGATTCCCAGTGCCACCTCTGTCCCCAAACAGTTTCCCAGTGCCTGGGCACTGTGCATCCACCCAGGATCGGCTCTGTAGGTATGAGATTAATGGTGCATGTATGTGTCACATATATTACTATATAAATAGTGAGAGTGTATACCAGTCACTACAGGTGGTCTGACAAGGATTTTAACCTGGGTTCCCAATTCTAAGGCAGTATGTGACATTTATAAGCTGCTAATAATAGCAAAAAATAAATAAAGTAGTTCCTTGGAATACCTTGGAAATGTTTCTGCCGTGGAAGTGTGCCTCGGACTAAAAAAGGTTGGGTACGAATGAGATATAGCCGAGTCCATTACTGTAGGACAACAGGTATAGAAAGAATTGGAATGTGGGGGAGGAAGGCAGAAGAAAGGGTTAATCATACAGCTAGCATTGAATGGTAAGGCTGGGAGAAAGGCAGGTGTAGTCTATGAACGATCGGGCAAGTCATGTGACAGTTGGAGTCTATATAACATGGCAAAAGATTAGCTTGAGCGGATGAGGGAGGGGGTAGTTTTTAGGATATTGCTTGGTGGTCTTTTAGTAAGTAATGTCTGTGTATTATTTTTCATCTTGATGAAGATAAAACTTGCAGTTTAGGAGATCCACAAGGAGACAGATTCACATTAGTCAGTGGGGTCTGACTATGGTTAACATGAATATAGAAACCTGTGTTGGTGGGGGCTTGACCAGGGGTACATTGGGAGCTGGTGAATCCGTTAGATCCAAATAACATGCAGCACTTCAACACAAGTGAATTATAAGAGTTGGATAATCTTATCCAATTCTAAACCTCTCTGGTAGATCTTGCAGTTTAATTTTAAATGGTGTCTGTGACCAGGTGACATTCTCCAGGTGAATGTAGTCTGTGGACTCCAAGCTGGAGTTTAAATGAATTTAGAATCGCTCAATATCTGCTAAAATTTCCAGTCTATAACTATAAAGGAGCTGAGAACTTCATCATATTTACTATCTAGCTTAATTTTGTGCAATTTAAGTTTTGCTGCAACTTCTATTTAAGTGAATAAGCCCCTATGTAACATTTAAAGGGACATTCATTGCCCAATTGGGCAAAAAATAGAAATCTGTTTAGATACAACCCAAGGAATACATGCAATGCATCTTCATATATTCCAAAAGCTACACGTATTCTGCACATGGGGAAGCCCTGGATTGGCTGTGATCTGCAATGGTTTTAGCTAGGGGAGCAGTGGCATCCAGTGGGAATAAAATCTACTTGTTATTAATGGGGGCTGTTAATCTAAATGGCCCCTATACCACTCTATTACGAATACATGTTTTCACATCCAACATTAATGTTCCTTCAATCATAGAAACCTAGGAAAGCACAAACTGTACTTCAAGCTGTAACTACTTTCTAGAGCTTCCCCTGCTGTCCAATCTGCCTAATTACCTGACTTTACATGTTGCTCCTCTGACAATACAATGGTTTATTAGCATTGCTGTAAATCCACCTCAACATTGGATTGCAATAACCTGGGTGCACTCTTGTTTTATGGGGTGCTTAGAGACCCTTTTTATATTTGTTTGGGTGTGGGATGTAATAGATAAATGATTAATTTAACCGTTGCCTTCCATCCTATCGCCATACCTGCAAAGTGTCCCTATTTAGGAGGGACAGTCTGTCTCACACTTAAGTCCCTCTATCTATACTAATGCTCTATTCTAGGAGCTCCATGTCGGTGTGCCTAAGTGTATAACAGAGCTCCACAGTAATACTCCGTAATGTGTCTGACTGTATAACAGAGCTTCACAGCATGAATACCCCCAGTAATGTCTGTGTATAACAGAGCTCCACAGCAATAATACTCCCAGTAATGTGTCTGCGTGTATAACAGAGCTCCACAGCAATAATACTCCCAGTAATGTGTCTGATGTCTCTAACAGAGCCCCACAGCAATAATACTCCCAGTAATGTGTCTGAGTGTATCACAGAGCTCCACAGCAATAATACTCCCAGTAATGTGTCCTTTTAAACTGCAATAAATGTGTTTCCAATACAATCAGTCACTATTGGTAATACACTTTAAATGTCACAGAACCCTGCTCCTTGCCACACCTCCACGAACATCCTTAAAATTTAAAGTGGCCGTCTTTGTCTGATTAAAATGTTGGGAGTTTGAACCCCAAAACCCTGCTTTATAGACCTGTAGTATTGTGATGTTTGGGGGGGGGGGTTGTATGGGTGACCTGCATGAATCTGCAAGAGGAAGATTGATTCATAATCCCCAATAAACATTTCTCAGAACGCTTTTCACAAGGACAGGGGTTTCTCTATTAGAAAGCTGTAACCCCGATTTCCATCTTCAATAACATGCATGTATGAATCAATCTGATAAAACGGCAAATTACACGTCTGTTTGGATTTATTAGAACTGTGCAAAATGCAAGGAATGAAAAGGCTGTGATCCAAAAAGTGAACGATTCACTTTTACCATATTTCCTTCTCTATGGTATTTCCTTCGTCTGTATGAAAAAAAAAAACCACCACCAAGACATCAATATTAATTATATTGTTTCCATAACTTACATGAATATCGCAAGCGGAAGGCAAAAAAAAACAAAAAAACTAGTCCATTTGAATGTGTTAATAGTGACCCCTACAGACCATTCTTGAAGCTGTGTAGTGACTGTTGCATTGTTTCTGTAAACTTTCTAGGAGATGTAACTGAACTGTGTCTCAAGAGCCATTAAGCCATTTACATCAACCTGTGGAAAAAAATTATTTTAAGAAACTGCGTGACCATGTTTATAAAGTAATTTGTTGCTTTGGTCAGTGCAGCTGTGGTATTTAATAAAATGAAACTCTGGCTAATGAAACCTAATTATAACGTGTAAAACCTGAAGCAGAGACACTTATTTTTACTTTTTTTGAATGTCTTCTAAAGCCAGTTTGTCATATTACATTCCCCAATGATAGCTGCAAGGCCAGTTTTTCTAAATGAACACTCAAACCTATTGCTAATGGTACGATATGCAGACATGATTTATACAAGTAGTTCATTTAGAAGGTCATGGCTTCTGCAGTACGGAGTTCACTAAACGCCCGTTTCAAACCACTATTTACCTTGAACTGCAGAATATCAGAATTTTAGATCCTAGGCAGGTTTCTATTCATTGCAAAGGGATGGCAAATGGTACCAGGCAAATTCTTATGGGTAATTCTCCTCTGATAGATATACTCCCAAACCTACATAAATTGAACTAAATATTTTTACCTCTCCTGGCGCCACGAGCGGGGATAATATGATGCTCATTGCCGTCTTAAATGCCAAAGTCATACATGTGACAATTTTAAAGCATTTAAACGTGTATAAAAAAAAAAATCCTATTTGTTACATTTTTGTCTTTAATTGAATACATGGAGTTCGGGCTACTGTGAGGCATAATTTGTTTTTGGTTTTCAGGTGGAGATATTAATTGTAACTCCCTTTTCAACACTTAAAAGTAACGGCACAGCTTCAATTAACTTACAAAAAAACTGGCGTTATATTTGACACAACAGGTCAAATGTTAAGTCTGCAGTTTATTGATCTAGCCTCCTGGCATCTTAATTGCGGCTATGATGCTGTAACTATGACAACACATTAGGCTGGCACTGATACAACCAGGACAGTAGCTAGATGTAAGATGTTAGCAGGGAAAGCATTCACTGTGAGGCACCACCAAGGTGTTGGGTGTACTGAAACATCTGCACAGAATATGGGCTGGACATGCCAGAGTACAGATGGGATGTCCACAAGAAAAAATAAATATAAAAATAACTTTCACTCAAGAAGTTTAAAACCTAATATCATACAGATAGTCCTAATTTCAACATAGGTTAACCTATTTGATCAGTTAAAAAAAAAAAAAGGGAAAGAGGAGGGGCTTAGTGGCAACCCAGCACACACCATTCCGAGAGCTCTGCTAATCTAATGGTAAACACTAATCTTAGTTTTCAACAAGCATTAACATACCTGGGGACTGGCAATGGGTGCAAGAGAGGGAGAGGCACTCACCAATGCCATTCTTTCAGCCGCCGGGCGCGAAACACAAACGCCGGCCTCATAAGGCCTCTCTCGCGACCTGCCAGGAAAACACAGCAAATGCCTTTGCGGCCTGGTGGGACCCAGACTAGCTTACACCCAAAGCACAACAGACACAACCCCAAGACCCGGACGAGATGGGGAAGAAGTCCCAACGATCCCATGTACATACACCCAGGGAGGCACACTGCTCCAACGCACACCTAAGCATAGAGGGCCGGAAAGGGCAGAGCCTGAGGTCTATGATCCTCAGGAGTAAGAAGGGGGTGGGGGAAGTGGATGCCCCAGGGTCTCCCACAGCTGACCACCCAGCCACATGCACCCCAGCAAGTATGGTCCCAGACCCTAAACAGGACATAGACAATTTTTGTCAAAATCCAACACCTATTCGCAGCAGACATAGCCATGGTGCAGTCTGAAGTACAGGCGATCACAACCCGCGTCCAGACCACAGAAACCGATATCACCGACCTACAACGTAACATTGCGGTGGTGGGAGACTCGGTCAGACAGCTGCAGGCACACCAATCCACCCTGACACTGAGTGGGCGCCCTAGACTAGAGAATCAGTCAGAAAAATCTGAAGATAACGGGGTCTCTGACACAGTGGTGGAAGATCTACCCCGCTTCATTAAGAGACTAGTGAATACACTACTCCAAGCAAAGCAAGCCAAGCAATTCACAATTGAATCCCCACTGGACTTCGAGTCTCGTACGATATCAATCTTCCAAGATCTGCATCGCTCTACCTTGCTATGGAGGAAAACGATGAACCCATCACACAATGACTTCAAGAAGCCAGAATACCATATAAATGGACTACTCCTAGAGCCCTTCTGGTCACCAAAGACTGAAAACAAGTCAAGGCCACCACCTTCTTGACCGCGATAGGATTGGGAAATGGTACACGAGAGCAGAGAGCATAAGCTACCAACAGCATCTGAGATGTGGACAACATAACACCCTTCATCCCAAGAAGTGGACAAGATGGCGTGACATTGAGACACAACCCATAACTGATCCTGTCCCTTACTTTTTCAACCTGTTCTCCTCCCACACTATGAAAAATGTATATTATACCCTTATTTTGTTCCAAACGCCTATGAAGGTGCCAACTGACAGCTAGCCACTTATCTCACCCCCCTGCTGTTGCCCCATTGGTTAGGGCTTGACCTCCACAATCCGGGGTAGACCCAAGCACCTTGACATAACAAACGGTAGTTAATGTTACAATGCAATGTACTAGACCTCACTTTACTGTTTATTGATCTCATTTTCCTTGTTCTACTTGGTTTAAGTCCTGTTTTTAGATACTGAATTAGTATAGCACACCCGAACTTAACCAGACTGGCTACTTCCGCCGATCACGCATCACTGTAACAAACCGGGCTCCCCCCAATGAAGTTTTACCATAATATGTCTGCTAAGAGATCCTATGTTATCAAAATATTTCACCTAGTCTAATATAACAAAAACAGGTGAACACACAATGCCTACTAGGTTATGTGCATGCAGTCACCGCGACTAAAACTTGTATGCATGTATTAATTGGCTGTCTTAAAGAAACAGCTGCACAAATAAAGAATTGTATTAAAAAGGGGGGTAAAATAAAAGTATGCGATGAGGGTCTGAAATTTTACTATAGACTGTTTACCAAGTATGTATTTTTTCTTTTCAGTAAAAAGGAGAAAAGAGAGGAAAAAAAACAAGAAAATGTCTTGTTTATGGCTATTGGGAAAATGACTGACTGACATACATTTGTAGCAATGCACTTTCACACAAATACAAGCGTATACAAAAGTAAAAGGATTGACTGTAAATGGGAAAATTCTCTCATCTCACAATCCTTGCACTCTCTCCATTTTGTTATATCGTATCTTATAGTAAACCTCACAGAGGTTTCTAAGACAAATAGTCCATGTTCTATACTGAGAATGTTGCTTTTCCTCCTTGTACAATTTAAAATGCATGAATCAAGTTTTCAGATACTTACACACAAATAATAAACGAGCAGGTGAAAAGTTAAAAATATTGCATCAAATATGGGGGATTTCTGCTGTTTTAATGTCTGTTTGATAGTAAATGTTACTGATTTTTTTTTTCCCTATTATATATTCAAGTAACTTTTTTTATATATATATAGATTTTATTTATTTTTTACACACTACTTGCCTAGTTCGTTGTATAGAACTACCAGGTACTAGAATGCTGAAAGGGTTATTTACTAAAATGAAAATGCTAAATTAATTCTATATTGTAGAACTGAAAGCATAACTAAATTAATATTGAATTCTCACATTCATGAATATCCCTGTGAGGAATGAAGAACAATTGTAGAAGAATGTAATCAATACAAGCATTCCCTGTTTCCACAGGGAATTCTCCACCTTGAGAACTGTGCCCTAATATTAAAGGAATACTTGAGTTGGGGCAGAGTAACACCGTATTCCTCCCACTAATCACCTCCTTGTCCCCTCTAGCATTGTAAAGGGTTAAACTCCTATTCACTTCCCGATTCCTGATGTCCCTCAGTGCTGGGTTGTAGTCAGCCTCTTCCATCATCAGATTGGGATAAGCTAGTGTGCATGCACGGCATGCAATGCTCATTAGGCCTTCCCCATAGGAAAGTATTGCCTAAATTCTTTCCACTAGCTTTTTCTCAGACACTGGACATCCTCATTCAGAGTGTGAGGATGTCCAGCATTGTTTCATTTAGTTAAACGCCAGGAAGCGCCTCTAGTGGTGGTCTGGTAGCCAATAGGGGCAGTCTACACCATGCAATGTAAACATGGGTTTCTGTAAAACTACAGGACAAAATTGTATATCTGATGCTAGAACGATAAGCAACAGGAAGGTGACCATATTTAAAAAAAAAAACACGAGCCAAAATAATTTAGATTAGTTTGCGTGGCAATTCGTATTGCATCACCAGTGCCAGGATTGCAAGCTAAGTAAAATGTTTTATTTTTACCTAATGTTACAATGTTTTTGCCTTTTGTTTTGTTTTTCCTATTATGGTACCCCGTTAAGTCCGTACGGCTGCTTTCTGATGCATGTGATGTTGATGATCCATGTAATTAGTCCTGTACCTTTCCAAGTTAATATTCACATGCCCTGTAATTAGGATCATTCTATGTACTGCATTCTGTATGGATATGAAACAAATCTCCTGCCAACAAATGGTTTAGCTCAATCTGTGCCGTGGCCAGATATTTGGCTTATCATACCCCTCTCTTTATACTCGTCTGTCAATGGGGAAACGCAGCATAAAAATACAAACATTTTCATGAATCAAATGAGCTGAAAAAAATATCATAAATAAGAATACAATAGGATTACTTTAAATACATTTTATAGTGGTGTGTTTTTTTTTTTTGTTTTTTTTTGTTTTTTTTTTATACTAGTTACAAGCATATGCTATGGTTGTATTATTAAAAACAAAAAGCTTAGAGCTATACAGGGAGTGCAGAATTATTAGGCAAATGAGTATTTTGACCACATCATTCTCTTTATGCATGTTGTCTTACTCCAAGCTGTATAGGCTCGAAAGCCTACTACCAATTTAAGCATATTAGGTGATGTGCATCTCTGTAATGAGAAGGGGTGTGGTCTAATGACATCAACACCCTATATCAGGTGTGCATAATTATTAGGCAACTTCCTTTCCTTTGGCAAAATGGGTCAAAAGAAGGACTTGACAGGCTCAGAAAAGTCAAAAATAGTGAGATATCTTGCAGAGGGATGCAGCACTCTTAAAATTGCAAAGCTTCTGAAGCGTGATCATCGAACAATCAAGCGTTTCATTCAAAATAGTCAACAGGGTCGCAAGAAGCGTGTGGAAAAACCAAGGCGCAAAATAACTGCCCATGAACTGAGAAAAGTCAAGCGTGCAGCTGCCACGATGCCACTTGCCACCAGTTTGGCCATATTTCAGAGCTGCAACATCACTGGAGTGCCCAAAAGCACAAGGTGTGCAATACTCAGAGACATGGCCAAGGTAAGAAAGGCTGAAAGACGACCACCACTGAACAAGACACACAAGCTGAAACGTCAAGACTGGGCCAAGAAATATCTCAAGACTGATTTTTCTAAGGTTTTATGGACTGATGAAATGAGAGTGAGTCTTGATGGGCCAGATGGATGGGCCCGTGGCTGGATTGGTAAAGGGCAGAGAGCTCCAGTCCGACTCAGACGCCAGCAAGGTGGAGGTGGAGTACTGGTTTGGGCTGGTATCATCAAAGATGAGCTTGTGGGGCCTTTTCGGGTTGAGGATGGAGTCAAGCTCAACTCCCAGTCCTACTGCCAGTTCCTGGAAGACACCTTCTTCAAGCAGTGGTACAGGAAGAAGTCTGCATCCTTCAAGAAAAACATGATTTTCATGCAGGACAATGCTCCATCACACGCGTCCAAGTACTCCACAGCGTGGCTGGCAAGAAAGGGTATAAAAGAAGAAAATCTAATGACATGGCCTCCTTGTTCACCTGATCTGAACCCCATTGAGAACCTGTGGTCCATCATCAAATGTGAGATTTACAAGGAGGGAAAACAGTACACCTCTCTGAACAGTGTCTGGGAGGCTGTGGTTGCTGCTGCACGCAATGTTGATGGTGAACAGATCAAAACACTGACAGAATCCATGGATGGCAGGCTTTTGAGTGTCCTTGCAAAGAAAGGTGGCTATATTGGTCACTGATTTGTTTTTGTTTTGTTTTTGAATGTCAGAAATGTATATTTGTGAATGTTGAGATGTTATATTGGTTTCACTGGTAATAAATAATTGAAATGGGTATATATTTGTTTTTTGTTAAGTTGCCTAATAATTATGCACAGTAATAGTCACCTGCACACACAGATATCCCCTAACATAGCTAAAACTAAAAACTACTTCCAAAAATATTCAGCTTTGATATTGAGTTTTTTGGGTTCATTGAGAACATGGTTGTTGTTCAATAATAAAATTAATCCTCAAAAATACAACTTGCCTAATAATTCTGCACTCCCTGTACATGTGTTGGTGCTGTGTATATTTGTGTGTTTTTTGTATTCATTAGGCTGGATGTAGAATAGAACGCAGGATAATTTGGGGAATGGGATAAGTCCACTTGAAAGATTAAATCAGGAGTGGAACTGATAGCCGTTAACTAAGTATCTGCACTCTGTTATTTAGATAACACAGGAATCACTGGTAATTGTACACTGAGATTTCATAAAGGCTGTGGACAGAAACTGCAACAGACTGAACTAGAGTCTTTAGAATGAATGCAGGGTGTTTAAACAGAAGTAAAAATGAACTAGTCAGGCTGTAGAAACCGGTCGCTTGGTGGGATCACATTTTCTTGTGATTGACAGTTAAGGATCCTCTATTGCATTTAGATTTATAACCATAATTTTTTTTTTCACTTGTTTGGTTCTCGAATTTTATTTTTATTTTATTTTTTTATTTATTTTTCACATGACCACTCTGTACCTTCAGAGAATACAAAATTACCTTCCAATTGACATAATACAATCTCAGAATTCGCAGTTTAAGCCCTCACAATTCCTTCTAGGGATACGTATTCCACTGTTTTTAACATAATTTGAATTACTCTGTTTACACCTAAAATTCAGTGGAATCTTAAAAAAATTAAATTAAAAAAAAAAATTTGATTGTGGAAATCAATATAAATCCTTATTTAAAAATATTCTGGTAAAAATGTTAACATTAAAGTAACTCCCAGGGAGCACTTATATTTTGGTAGTAATCACTAGACTTGGGTAGTGTTTATAAAAAAAAAAAAAAAAAATCTGAATTAAATTATTTTTATAATCCACTAAAAGAATAGAGAATGATAATGCAGAAGTAAATCCAAACTAGATTGTCTAATAACCATCAAAAAAAG